ACGGACTCGCTCAAGCTCAGGAGTTCGAGACCAGCCTGAGCAAGAGCGAGACCCCCGTCTCTACTAAAATAGAAAAAATTAATTGGCCAACTAAAATATATAGAAAATTAGCCGCGTGAAAAAAAAAATCCAAATAAATAAGTCTGCATGAAAAGAAACCCCAGTTTTTCATTCCACTCCCGCGCTTTGTAAAACCCGGGGCGTTTGAGAAATTAACTCCGGAGTAGAATATCGGAGTGGAGAGAAAGGCGAGGGAGTGCAGAGGGCCGGGGCAGGGAGGGGGCCCTTTCCCTCTGGGGAGGAGAAGAACAGGGAGCCGGGCAGGGTGGGGAGGGGCCCTGTCCCTCTGGGGAGGAGGAGAGCAGGGAGCCGGGCGGGGTGGGGAGGGGCGCTGTCCCTCTGGGGAGGAGGAGAGCAGGGAGCCGGGCGGGGTGGGGAGGGGCGCTGTCCCTCTGGGGAGGAGGAGAGCAGGGAGCCGGGCCAGGGTAGCTGGCTGGCGTGGGAGCCGGATCCAGCCCGCCCCAGGGCCCGCGGCGACCGTGTCCCTTTCCTCTGACTGCAGTACTGGCGCCAGGTGTACCTGATGACCGTGCTGGCCATGATCCTGGCGGTCTTCTTCGCGCAGATCCACCCCAGCTACCTCACGCAGCAGTGGCAGCGCCTGCGCTCCGCCATCTTCTGCTCCGTGTCCGGCTACGGCCTCATCCCCACCCTGCACTGGGTCTGGCTCAACGGCGGCGTCCGCGCGCCCATCGTGCAGGTAGGCCCGGTGCCCTGGTTGGTCGGTTGGTGGGTCGGTGGGCAAGCCCCGGGGTCCTCTCCCCAGTTTGCTCCCTGCGGGCGCAGCGGTGCGGCCGGCCCCAGAGGCCGGTCCCCACCCTGGTAGAGCGCATCCGCAGCTTCACACTGGTGCTGCGGTTCCACGGCTGTTTTATTTATTGATTGATTGATTGATTTATTGATTGATTGATTGAGACACAGTCTCGCACTGTTGCCAGGGCTAGAGTGAGTGCCGTGGTGTCAGCCTAGCTCACAGCAACCTCCGACTCCTGGGCTCAAGCCATCCTCCTGCCTCAGCCTCCCGAGT